ACCCAAGGGCCTCTGGACATGCATAGTCGAAGTAGTTGCGCTGGTTGCCCTCCGAGATCACACCACCACTGAGGTCGTCGCCGAAGGGGTAGCCGTGCTCCTCTGGGTCGTGTTCCGCCAAGTCTTCTCGTCTTCGTTTGCGGCTGGGTCTCAGCTCCAGCTGCCGTTTGGCATAGGCTTCGGACCCGGTAGCATAACGGCAGTTCTCCATGGACACAGTCATTGGAATGCCCCCGTGCACGACCCACATCACCCGTGCCGGCCCATGCCACTTGAAAGGGCCTCGTCCGGCACGACGATAAAAGCAAACGAGGTCACCTTGTACAAACGGGCCCCTCATGGGAACACTTTTCCGAAGGAGTGCGCTCCGGACTCGGTCTGAAGAGTCAGTCTGCGCAAAGGCTTCTCGCGCAGCACCGCACAGAGCCATTCGCTTTGCAAAGGCGGTCTCGCCGTCCTCGATCTCCTGCTGCTGGCCAAGAAACTTCTCTGAGCCAGTCGCCGTGAGAGAGTCCACTTCGGTGGGCAGACGACCAAGGACCCACTGAGAGGGGGTAAACCCGGCGTGGTGGAGCCGGTTGTTCTTCACACTCGTGGCCTCCGTCACCAGCATCTCCATGGCCTCACGTCCGGTGAGCTGTCGGGCGGCGACAACACGCTTCATGATGTCCTTTAAGATGCTGCCCTGCCGCTCACCTCGGCCCAGTTGGAAAGGCGACTCCAGGCCCACATAGCGAAGCAACGTCCCGTGCGCCTTTGGCCATGGCCTGAAACTTTCCGCGGTTCTCTGTGCCACGGTCGAGGGAGATCGCCTCAGGGGGTCCGGCCCAAGACAGCCAACCATCTCGGAACTTGTCTGTGCATTCTGTTGAAGACGGTGGTCCCGGGCCTTCTCCAACAAGCCAGGCGGCATGGAAAAGGGTGCCGTTGTCAACGGCCGACAGAAACTTGAACTTGATTCCTCGGGCGTCCTTGAGCACGAACACATCCACGGCCACATCCTTATTGAAGATATAGTCGTGGGGTATCTTCACCGGCCGCGGCTCCCGGGGCCTTTGCATGGCAGAACAGGCTGGACAATAAAAGTGGTTCAGTGCCTTGATCGCCTCCGGGTCGGCGTTCGCGGTCCGAAGAAGTCTTTGCATAGCTGCGGGGCTGCTGTGGCCGGTCATGGTGTGTAGCCGCCGAAGGGCAACACGTTGTTCTCGTGGAAGTTTCCTCCAGGCTGCCCGGGCTTCCAGGAGGGGTGCCGCCTCCTCGTCGGGAAGCGGAGGCTCCTCCGTCTCCTCCGCAATGGTGTCCATTTGTTCCGCCAGGCGCCTGTTGCCATAGGTGGTGTTGCCCCCGAGGTTCTCGGAAGATAGGTCAGTATCACTGAAGATGCCATCGAGGTTCCCAGGGTTCGTGCTCTCTTCCTCGAACAACTCGTCCTCAATCTCGGCCTCGGCCGGAAAGGCGGTCTCCACGTGCACGTTGTCGAGAGCTGTCAGAAAGGTATCGATAAGTGGTTGCGGTTCTGGCATCCCCTTCTGCTGAACAAGCCTCTCCTTCAGCGGGGAAGTGGCAGTGAGGTACGCCCTTGTGTTTTCTCCTCCTCCGTGGGTGTCCTTCACGAAGATGGTCTCCAGGGGCTCGCCGGTGCTCTCGTCGACGGGTGGTCCTTGCAAGAAACTGCGGCTGAGCGGCAGAGTCCAAAGGGAATGTCCCCACGGATGCTCCAGTAGTACTTGCCGCCCCTTTTCCAGACGCTTTCGAGCAACTCCTTGCAGCCATTCTATCACCGGGGTCCATTTGCGACGTTCCCGAACACAGTCCTGCCACGAAGCCCCAGGTTGAGAGAGCGTGGCCCAGGGGTTCGGCATGATGTGGTCCACGAGGCAGGTGATCACGTAGGGGTCGTCCTTCTCAATGATCCGGTCAACGGCGTCGCGGCCGTCCTTGTGGAAGAGGCTGTGCCCAGGGCCGTGGTGAATATCGATTGGGCTGCTGATCGGGAGCCCGTAGGTGTAGGCAGCCGCGTGGGAGAGCACGGCCGCACCAGCAAACAACTCAAGCAAGAAGGTGCGCAGCCTCTGGGTAGCACGTTGTGTCGCCGGCCTCGTTGTCGGGAGACCTGGTTCCAGAGGATGCGGTCGGCAGCGCCCACGTCTTTAACTCCTTGACCAACCTTCGCCACCATGCTTTTGGTCATCGGTCGGTGTCGGAGGCTGTCAATTGCAAGGTAGGCACCGCTCTCGCCAGAGGTGTCGGGGTAGTGGTGCGTGTCGTTGCCTCGGTCGTCCTCGGAGTCTTGCCCGTTGCTATGGTCAAGGTGGTTGCCGTCGTTGTGGTTGCCGTTGCCGTCGGGGTTGCCAGTGTGGTCGCCGGTCTCCGTGTCGATGTCAACGGTGGGCTCTCCTGCCAGGTCTGCGGGTAGCAGGCGTAGCCCAAGGAGCCCGTCTTTGATGACGAGCTTGAGGTCCTTTCCGAGCAGCTGGGAGTGAGCAACCTCAGCGTTCAAATCCAGCACCAGTCCAAGAGCTTGTTGTGCACGCAGGGAAAGTAGCAGAGGAGCCCCTGAGTCAAGAAGCTCGGTGGAACTGAGGTCGCCTCGGGCCACACCTCCATCTAGCAACTCCAGGCAAAGTTCAAGACGGCGGGTCCCCGGCGGTACGCATCGATCCGCCGATTCCTCGGAAGGTCGGGCGGTTCTCCGTCTCAAGGGCAGGCATGCTTTCCCCAATTGCTGCGGAATATCTCCGCAGCCACCGGTCCCCATGGCAGGTCTGGCTGCACCAGGTGTCCAGTATCGCCACCAGGTCGTTCTCCTCGGACATGTCGTCAGGTGGGCCTTCGGTGGCCATGTAAGCTCGTGGTTGTCCAAGGTGGTTGTCGTACTCCTTGAAGAATTGGACCATGCGCTTCATCGCTGGGTGGCTCCGATCGTTGATATACTCGAAGCACCAGTCGCGGTAGTTACGGTCGTGGTAGGCAGTCAGGTAGGATTGTCCCTTGTACTTCCCGGCATCGGCAAGTGTCGCGCCACGTGCTTGCAAACGTTCTTCCGCGGTTGGCTGCTCCGGGGCTCGTGGTGCTTGTGGTTGCGCTCGCGGGGGTTTCCACACAGTGACCTGGTCAATCGTCAGCCGCAGGGCCTGTAGCAGCCGGTCGGCGGGGATGTCGCCGGCCTCGTTCTGTGCCATCTTTCGGGCCACTGCCTCGTTGAAGGTCTGCACCACAAGCTGCACTTCCTCGCGAGACAAGGTTGTAGTAGGGCACGAGGTGAAGGTCGAAGTCGAGGAAGAGGGTGCCGCCGTGGTAGTCGAAGCTGCTGGTGCTGTGGTGGCACCCGGGTTGTTGGGAAAAACTTCTCGGTGCCCACAGTCGACACACGTCCGCACACGCACGTAGCCATTGCTGCCCTTCCAGTGCACCCGGTGGTGCTGGCATCGCCCAGCTGCCGGTGCCGAGGGTGTGCTGGTAGTAGGTGTTGTCTGCTTCTTGGTGCGCTCCAGAACTTCCCCACACAGGGCACACTTGCGCACGAAGTAGTGCTGGTTGCTTCCAACGGTAGTTGTTCTGCTGTGTGCGCAGGTTCTCCGCGTAGAATTGGGCAAAGGTGGCGCGGGGCTCGTCGTGGTAGTGCTGCTCGTTGCCGGTGTTCCGGTCAAAGGTGGCTCCGGAGTGGATGTCGAGGGTGCTGGCTCCTCGTTTGCCACGTGGGGCTGTGGCTGTGGCCGTCGGTCTTCCAAAGGGATCGCTGGCTGTGGCCGTCGGTCTTCCAAGGGGATCGTTGGCGAAAACGTTGTCGAAGCCTCGCCCGCGGGGTCAGGCCTGAGAGCCTCAAGTAGGATATCCATGTCCACGTCGGGGGCCTCGTAGCTGTAGGCTAGGTTCTGCTCTGCTGTAACCAGCTCCCAGGTGCTGGTGGTGATGGCGGTCTCGGTTCCGCCTCTGCTCTCGGGCTGCTCTTGTCGCCGTCCTTGGTGGTGAGCGGCTGGGTCCATGTAGTAGCGGTCCTCCGGGTACGCATTCTCGTCGGTAAGGTCCACATAGTCCCGGGAAACCGTCGGTGCCGTCGTGGTAGCCGGTGGCGTCGTCAAGGAAGAGGGTGGAGGCACCGCGTTGTAGCCAGCTCGTCCGCGGTCGGGGGTTCGAAAAGCAAGGTAACCATGCTGCGCCTCGTTGCCGCCCTCCTTTATGGAAAAGTACACTGTCCTTGGCTTGTCCTTGCCAGAGCCGCGCCCAGCGTGTGAGGTTCCACGCCCAGGCGGGTGGCCACGACCAGCCCAGCCAGTAGAGGAAAGGCTCGAGGAGGGTGCGCCGGCACGAGGATTCTTGGTCTTGCCCTTGCCCTTGTTCAGTGGGCACTGTGCATCTCCACTCCAGTGCCCCACGTTGCCGCATTTTCGGCACGTGGTCCGCGCCTTGAGCTGTAGCAATTTTGCCTTCTTTTCATCCATGCTGAAGGTGCCGCTGATCTCGAAAGGTGGGGGCTTCATAGGCGCATGTCCCTTAGAACTCGCACCCTTGCGGCTCCAGAAGGCTTCCTCTTCAGCTTGTATCACGTCCGCTGCGAAGTGCCCGGCCTCAGTGTCCTCGGGGTCCAGACCGTTGTCCAGGAGGTAGGCCAGGTGCTCCTCGGCGAAATTCCCGGAGTCAAAGTCAAGGCTGTAGGTGGTCTCGTCCAGGTCGCCGTGGGACATGTAGCCAAAGCCCTCGGGAGCGGCGTCGTAGTCGACCTCGTCGCCATAGTCCCCGTACTCCTCGTCGAGCGGGGGCTCGGCCAGAAAGGCATAGGATCTGCCTTTGGTCCCCTTGGCCGGCCCTTTCGGCACTCGCTGCTGCCAGTGCGGCTTCCAGGTGCCGCGTCCATCCGGAAAGCTCCTTCGTGGCGGGCCGCTTGTAGAAAACCTTTCGTGTGTGCGGCCGTGCTGGTTCACAAGTTCATCTGCCACAGCATCAAAAGTCATCTTCTGCTGCAAGGTGACCCTCACGAGGAGCTTGTGGTCCTCGGAGATGTTGCTGTTGTCCAGGAGCTGCTCCGCGAGGATGGTGTCGGGCAGCTTCAGTTCGCTGCTCAAGTCGCACAGCTGTTGGTACCAAGCCCGGCGCCTCAAGATGTACTCGACCATCGGCTCTTGCCCTTGCCGAGACAGGTATCCACCAACGCGGGCACCCGCCTCATATAGCTCCCGGGCTTGCTGCTGGCGCCGTGGTCGCAACTTCGTCTCTAGCTCGTTGAGCAAGTAGTCGGCACCATTTGCATCGTCGATCTTGTTCATGTCCATCAGCTGCACCAACTGTAGAGCATGGCCAGACAGTCCTTCGAGAAGGCGTAGTCCGAGGTGCCCGGCCTTCTTGAGCTCCTCCTCGGGCATCTGCTTCTCTTTTCGCTGCCGGGCCTTGACTCGGAACTTCCACTCATTGTACTTGCCCGGCTCCCCGTTGAACCTGGGAACGCCGGTCCTGCCTTCGGTCTGCGAGCCAAAGGCGCTGCTGCTTTCCTCCTCCCGCATAAAGCTGCCATAGCGCAGTCCATCCAGGAGGGATCCAGCCATGAAGGTCCTGGAGCTTACGCTCCGCTACCAGTGCGGAAACAACCGCACTGGTGCAAG